GAACACTTAGAGGTGTCTACTTAATTTAATAAAACGAGAAAAAGGAAAGGAAAGGTGAATTTCCTTCAAGGAGATATACTTCAATTACATCATATGAGTTCCTACTCGCGACTTTATCCGCATAAAGGGGATACAACGAAACCTATACCTTTTTCGTCCCTATTACTATGCGTCTACTATTATTTTTAATTTCTTTAAGATATACTCATTCTCAATCTTTAATATATCTTTTCCATTAAAGGGAATAACATCTCTATTACTTCTATTTCATTAATAAGACTAAAACGGCACGGATTCATTATTTTATATTTAGGATCACCTACAATACAGCGACTTCGTCCCTGCGAATTTATATTGTTTTCTAAAAATAAATAAAATTTCTAAATTAACTGTTTGAGAGATTAGCAAGAACAATCAGCCGTCTGTTTGTCAAAATATAATTTTATATAATATGCCTGTGCATATTATAATATATATATTTATATAAAATTATTTTTTTATTTAAATACTATATATTATAGTGTATGATTCTATGTATAGACCAAGAGCTCCACCGACAAGAGCGTAGCTCTTAAATTATGAATGAATGAACTGTATATACATTCATAAGCATTGAATAAAACGCTGTAATATTTGAAATTACAAACAGAAACTTCAATTTTATTTATTTATTTGTAGAGATTTACATGAGAAATGTTTATTGAATTAGGTACTTATAAGTGAGCATGGCATGCAACGTCATGTAAAGTTATACAGAAATTATATTTTACAATATAAAACACTAGTTTATCAAAAAAGATTACATCATTCTTTTTCTGTTCGGAAAATTCTATTCTAGTTGTAAATAAATGAACCATGAAATCATAATGGCCAAACCAAAGCAAACATTCTTAGTTTTATCAAAACCATTATTGTTAGACCTGTGTTTCACAACTAGTACATTATTATCTTATCTGTGGTTACACTATTAAGTCCAATTTTCACTGCAAACATACCTACAGCCTAAAATGTAAAAGTAATATTGTGAAGACGATCGCTTAAGAAAGTAAATACGACGAACGATTAATTTGTATTTCGATTCAGCAACGCGTATGTGACTCCGTGTACCATCAGATGGGCCGTATGTTAGTTACAAGAGTGAACAAAAAAATCCAAAATTGCAATTGTTACCTAAAAATTAATTGTCTTTGTTATTGAAATAGCTTTATTTTCTTATTTACCTACTTATTAATGAAATTTACGTGTTTAAAGTTTTCACAATACATAGTTTCGTATGCATATATAATAATTTTAATAGGTATGGTATTATGTTTTATCTATAATATTATAAATAGGTAGAGTATTTTAGTTTGTATGTTCGGGCTAATATCCGGTACTTCTGATCCAATTTTGAGAATTCTTTTCGGTTGGAGCCCATTTTTCGATCTAGATTATAAGCTCTATAACAACAATCTAATAGCAGTGAAGTTGCAATGAAAAATGTAATAAAATGGGGCAAATGCTATGAGGTGAAGTTTACGCAGCTCAGCTAGATATAATATAATAATAATAAACCAGTCGAAATTCTTATCAGTGTTAGTGAAATAAAAATACCATCTGAACTGAAGGGATAAAAAATAAAACATAAAATGCACAAGGAGCTATATAATAATATAAATAACGCTTTTTTAAGTAATTTTGTAAACGTTCTATACGTTAAATACAATTTATTTGCTGATACGAAGTCGTAAAGCACTTAATGCACGTGAGTGTACGGTTTGATTTGTACTCGTAATTAGACAAATCTCATGCGCATTCCTTGAATTAATTACAGAGCAGATAAGCTAGTAACTAATCAAAACACTTTATTGACTTTCATTCAATTAGTCATTAATTATTAATCACTGTATATCATTGTTATCATTCGGCTCTACAATGTGTATCTAACATGCGCTCATACATAGCTTGATAAGATATAATATCTTGGATGTTACACAGTATGGTGGTAGCGTTGCATTGGTATAGTCCGAATTGGTGAGTTTTTCTCGTGTCCCATTTATGTGGCTGCAAAATATTTATGATATGTGTTATATGGATGCTAATATTTATTGAATTGATGGGTGACGCATTAGTGAATCATTTGCAGTAAGTAAATATATATTTCCACTCAGAGACGTAACTGTAATCAGGCTAAAGTAGCAAATACCGGGTTAGTCCCTTGCTTTATTTAAAAAAGGTTCATAAATTGATGAAACACATTTTGTTAGTATATTATATTCTTAATATCATAGATGCTTCGGTCTAAAATACCAACCGGTATTTCGATTCAATATATAACATCTAACATGAAAATACAATTATAACTCTAAGTAAGTATTTAAACGGGTATTTTTTTTCAAATAGATACGAATTTTAGTGCCATAAATTTTCTAATACTTTACGTTGTTATTACCTTTATCTTTAAAACATTTGTTTGTTTACAAACACCTTATGAAATAGACGGAAACAATAGTAAATAGAATGTGTTACTGGTTGATAAAAGAATGGTGCACTCGCTGGTGCTAACGGTATATACTTAGATGCGGGCGAAGCACTAGTAGAGGATGATATAATGAATGAGGATCAGTTCAAATTCAAGATTATTTATTAATATAGGACCTTCAGGTCTCTTGTACATGTAAAATTTTCTCACTATACGTACAGTCCAGTTCGGCTAACTTTTTCAGTTTAGAACAACTGATTAGAATTTCACCTAGTTTTGTTTTTGTTATTATTGTTTTTAGTCAGTTAACCCATCTTGGGTAACAATGAAGGCCACTTGATAGCAATGGGCCCCCTATTCCTCCTTACTAAAATGCCCCTCTGATTAATTAACGTATATTTTAGGAATAGAGAAGGACATAGGATACTTTTTTTAAGTTCGTTCAATCATATTCGTTGATCAAGTCGTTGGTAAAAATCTTAATCGTTGTTTATTAATTTCGCTTAAATATAAATGTCATACAAATTGTGCGAGGTTGCAATTTTTTTATTTATAAACTTTATAACTTAATACCGCAGCAAAATTCTGAAAATTAATGAACGAATTAAAATTATATAGATATATATTGTATACTACATATATTCCTCTATAATGTATTTCTCCAAAATAACTTTCATATATTTTCTAACTTCATTAGTAATTGTTAGAGTATTATAGTCGTGGAAAATTTATGGAGAACCAAGTGTATAATACGGTGATGAGTTCGGTATATCTACTTGGTAAAATGTTCACGTATTTTGGTTGTACACCTCTAATCTAGTGATAATATAACAAGTGATAATTCTCATGTTATGACGAAGCGAAACTGCAACATATTTATTATGTTACCACTCCTACGACATTCTTAAGACACAGGTGAATACCTGCTACAATAATTTTGAAGTGTTTATTTATATTTCAAACTGACTCTCCAATGATGGAAACACACACTAGCGAACTAAATTAATCCGTTATTGCTACGTTCGCGTTGGATTAAAAATATAGGGCATGTGTACGAGCTAGCATCGTACATTATTTCGCAACATTAACATTTCATTAAAATCAGTTCGCATTCGGTCATCAAGGACGCCGCGCGTACTCATTACAATCATTAATCAGTTATATTTTAAGTTTCAATATACAGTTTTAATCAAGTTTCTATCAGTATCATTTATCAGTTTTACCTATCAGAATCTTTATAGTTTCGGTACAACCCGAACAGCATGTATTGTTGCACTCACCACTTCAACTGTTGACTCTGACTTTATACTTTTGGTACTTAATATTACTTTTGGTATATGTCTATATGCATAATTATGATAACGATGATGTAAATTTGTGTATATTACTTTCGGTATCAGTATAATAACAATTTTTTTGATTATAACTAATGAATGTAAACAATTATTACTACATTGTTCAAGCCGAGCGAAGTCGGGTGAATATCTAGCATACCTAATCTACATAAGTAGTCACATATTTCAGATACATGCAAGTAATAGCACCGATTATCTGTTATTATGAACTTTTAATAAACGATAATCTATATAGTGATATTCAAATTGTACCTAATCTAATGATAAGCAGGAATATTATGTTCAACATTTACATATTACAGTACATAACTTAGAGATAGGCTTTAGTCGCAATATGTATACCAAGCCATTTATAGTAAAATTACATCTGGAATGACAACATATGAGTGGCATCATGGATGTCTCGTGATAACGTGATGTCCGTAGTGTTGTTCACCTATATAAGTCGGCTAGACCGTCAGTGTTTGACCATCAAATTACCTAAAAGAAGTAATCATGAACTGAATTAATCTATATAACATACATACAAATCTACAACAAGAAAATAATGTATAAATTAAAATATCTGAAAATTCTACGAAATATCGTCAAAACAATGTGAAGATACAAAAAAACTCTTTAATCCTTCATAGAATTTTTAAATAATTCCAAACGGTGTTTTATTACTTGTTAAGTCTTTGTCTCATTAAGAGAAATCATTTATACACTACATATTTACAGTTTATAAAAATAATTTGCATGTTCGCTTTTCTTAAAGATTTGTGTAATGCCAATTAAATCATTTTATAAGTAGGTTTTCTATATAAACACAACAATTATATTATAAAGTAATGAAATAGATTGCCTTTATTTAAAATATTAGAATATAAACTCGAACCCAAGTCTAAAAACGGCTATTCACACAAATGATAATAGAATTTGCTTAACATAACCCGTGAATGAAAAAACAACTAATCTGTTAATATTTCGCTCTTAAAACAAAAGGCCTATTAGGCCGAGATATTACGGTTTAAAGTTCATGAAAAGAGATATTTAAACCCCTTATTCTCATTATAAGACCAAATGCAAATACATTCTGTGTGACTCTAGTATATACGAAATATCATTGCGAAACGAAATAGTTACTAACTAGATCTAAATAAGATGGTTAAATAACAATATAGAAGTGACAGTAAAATTGAATAATGTCGGACAGAATTACGGATTTGTTGAAAGGTTACGAAGAAAATGTACTCGATGTGCAACAACCGCGGAGTATTGGTTAGTATTTTATATTTTACAAATGCCTGCAAAAGACTGCAAGTCGTCTACATAGATGTTACTGTCTTATTTCTTTCTGCCGCTAAACAGCTTCTTAAATAAGCTGTAACTCTACATAAAAGGTGCGATATAACACTGATATCACAGGAATGACTTAGGAACTAACAGTTGTTGCAAACAGGGCCGTCTTATATTATATTATATTCTTTATAAATTTTTATATTCTAGCACTCAGCGCCCTCTAGGAACCCTTACCCAAATTTACTTCTTGAACCCCTGGGTAAAGGCGGCCCTGGTAGTAATACATTTTGTTTGATGTCTGTCATTACAGATTATGATTGTAACGTTTTCAATTAAGTAGGTCGTTTCCTTGTTTCTCATTCTAACACATCATAACGACCAAGTTTCTTACTACTTTTGGGTTATAGTAAGACATTTTAAACATTTTTATATCCTTCATTAACCTTCCATTGGATTGCCAATCATGTAGTTTAGATTTATTAACCATTCTATGCTTATTGAAGATTACGTACTCATGTTAAGATTTATTATTTAAAAAAAAACTAGTCGATAGTGCCTCAAGTTAATTACGAATGCTATAATTATATTTTATAAACAAGTGAAGACTGAATTCACGTCCTTGTTCCAGGGTTGTTCACCATCCCCGAGTATCCTGAGTACGAAGCGAAGCGAGGCATGTTGTCTGCAGCACTTGAAGTGATCCTCACTACCCTCCGTTATCTGGCACCGGCAACACTTCTTACCTTATTCTGGGGACAGCAGAGCTTCCTCTTCAAACTGCTTAAGAATATTGACTCCGCTTTCAGAGCTAGTAAGTTTTTTAATGAGATGTATGGTTGTAGGGTTCGATTAAGCAGTGAAATTAGAAGATAAGAATAAAAAAGAATAGAAGAGAAATAATATTTATTCAAATAAACTTAATATAAGCACTTTTGAGTAGTCATATTTTTTACTTTACATTACTTTATATTTTTACTGTACCTACTATCGAAACACAGACTCATCACAAGAAGTACGAAGAAAAAATTTGCGTGTTGCTCTTCTAATTAATATTGTTCAGAATTAGATTTTTAGGAATTTTGCCGTATAGCAAAGTTGACAATAAATGAACAGTTCCTTAACAAAATATATCAACGTTACTTATCAGAGCAGACCAGTCCCTGCGAGCAAGCATGATATTTTATTCCTCTGAAATTGTAACGCAGGAGTGGTATCACAAATATTGATGACGTCAAATCCGTAGTGCTGTTCATGTATTTAGGTGACGGTTACCATCAGGTAAGTCGTCAGCTTATTTGCCATTCTAATTACATAAAACATAATTTATACAATTTCTGATACTCTATAGTTGAAGGCGACGTACGTCCTCGTATCTGTTCGTCGTGCTTAATTCAAAATCTTTATTTTTATGTTCTTCAAAGAACTGAACGCCTTTATATTGGCAAAGTAAACATCGTTTTAATTACTATGAATCACTTCCTTTGCATATAAAGTAAGTTGCGTGGTTAAATATTGGGTATGGAAAGGTACGCCCGATTAGACATTGTACGTACACTCGACAGATCGACCCCTACACATCAGACGTACAGATCGGTTCTTGTATAGAAACTGTAAGTCGTAAATAACGCATTCCATGACAAGAAACGTTTAGACTTTTCTCAATGTCGAGAACTTAAGGCTTAGCAGTGGATTTATCTTCAGCGGATTTGCGATTTCCAGTGGCGCCATTATATAAGTGACAGGGGTACATTCTACAGTCAATCGTGATAGAATTCTTGACCTATTTAAAAATCTATAGCAAACTTATAGCAGTTGTCCTGCTTCATAAAGACGGACTTGATTATCTTTCGGAAATGACTATAGAGATCGCACGGATTCTACAAATTGGATTATGGATACCTGTACCTTTTTGTGTCAATTCGAAAGAATTTTAAGGAAACAATGTCTCAGTTTAGAAAATAAATAACCACAGCTCTACGTATCCTAGTAATAACTGTACATGAGTATTCCGTGGTTTATATCATCTAAATTAAAAAAGTAGTCGTATATGAGCATGTACTTATAAAAAACAGTAGTACTATTTTCAATTTTAATAAACAGTATTCAATTCTATCATTATTTTAATCACTAGACAAATAAACTTCAGTATTAGGTAAGCCTAATGACAACATGACAATATGTCTGACTCGGCGTCACGTTTACGTCGTAAATACATGTAGGTAGAACTAATTTGCGATCTCACGAACATAACTGTAATTTTTTAATAAGTAGCCTTAAAAACAGCATGAATTTCTAAGTGCACCCACCTTACATCCTTATACAGATGACATCTTTTAAAAAAACACCGATATAGATTTGGTATAAATTCGTTTACGTGGGTACCTCAGTCTCACTCATTTCTACCAAGCAACTAGGTTTGTATGCAGTTTCCGTTTTAATGGTAAAAATATGCCTTAGTTCTCAGTAATTACAATGCAAGAACGGACGTTACCTTTGGTCTGTGGGGCTGTTTATTATAGGGAAGTTTCAGAACTGATACGTTGATGCAGCGGTACTTGATTTTTATTTCTCTTCAAATAACGCTTCACATAAATTGCGTTGCCATAGTCTACGTCAGGTCGTCTCGGTTGCCTCGAACAGAAAGAAAGCCGTTCCTTCCTTGTTCCCTTGCTTTTTATGTCTATTGGTGGCGGCATGATAGTGACGCTACCAACATCACGCGACTGACTATGTTTCTAAATTTGAAAAGTAAGAAATTAGTCAACTGAGAGCTCTCTAACTTTAATTCTCTCTAACATTATATACATGATTATGAGGTAGTACATAGGCAACGATTGTCACTTTCCGTCAGTTGGCCCATTTGTCGTTTCAATTAGGTACGTTGAAATACTTATTAGAAGTGATCACGACATCATTTTAACGGGATAGGTAGGTACATACTTAATTAGTAGATTATATAATCTATGTCGGTATGTATATTATGTAAACACGTATATATGGGTTGAAGTTAGTAATCTGAAACCAGTATTGCATTGGAATATTTTATCACCGTCTCGGTACACTGACTATGAGTTAATCAATGTTTTGCCTAGATCAATCTGCAACTACTGCTAGCCAATCTAATACATTTCACGATTATTTAATAATATTCAAAACCGTACATTCATAATAATAGTACTCGAATTTTATAAATAATTATATAATAACATCTTAGGTCAATTCACACAGCGTCAAATAATCCCTAGCTAAGCAAAGCTTATGTTATATAAATATATCTATGTATTTGTATCGGTTGTCTAGTAAGACGACCGATACAAAATAAATATTTTATGTAAATAGATACATATTATACATAGAAAATATTCAGACCCATATAGACAATCATATTCATAAATATAAATGTTTGTACTGTGCGAGTAATCGAACCTGCGACCATCGGAAGTAAGGCGGTGTGCTAAACCACTAGACCATCGAGATAGGTATTAATATTATCAAATGGGCAGTCAGCTTACAAAAAAACCTAACGATTAATTTGTGCGACTATCATCTTTTACACGTTTGTTGTTTTTGTTAATGAGCATAAACAAAGCATTTATAATTAGCTTTTTGTATTTCATTACCTCGGATTACCAATTCAGCAACAACAATGTATGTTTTAAACTTTTCACGGTCCGCTTTTTAGTTGAAATGTATGTTTAACAGGCTGTAAATTACCTGTTAGTGTTTTTTTGTTGAGTTCAATTGTAACTTGGTATAATCTACTTAAAAATATTGCAATTGTAAAATTAGGGGTGTTCCCTAATAATACAAAAAATACGACATGTGGCTGGTAACTGTAAATTCGTAAAGAATCACCTCGAATGACGAGTCGGCGTCAGCTTTCAAACAAACGAAAATAATAAACAAATTTATTGCACCCCTCTTTTTTCATCGGGAATTATTTTTTTTATTATAATGAAATGGTATACCCGCTTGTGCTAACGGTTTACGTTGGCGGGGCGCCAGTGGAGGATGACATGACCATGAGGTCAGGTCAGTAATCCAGGGGAAACCGCGTGGAGGTCAACCTGACTTGGCTAGCAATGGGATTATTTATCCACACAACTAACAATCTCCTTGCCCCTATACGTCAGGGTGAAATACATTCAATAGATAAGAATAAAATAATTTAAATATTCACTAAATAATTATGTCATTTTTATCCCATATTATTTAAATTTACAATTATCAAATTATTGTAAAAATCAAAGATATAAAAATATTCAACGTTCTGTAGTGAATTAAAACACAACATAAATTTAATAGTTCTAAAAAAATTTAAAACTATGTATCTGTTTTACGGTTTGTACTTCCGTTATGGTTTGTATCGTTATTTTTAATGTTCCGACTATTGCATTTTCTACGTATCTTATACGTCTATATTTTACACTCCGTAAAATTTCATGAAGCGAAAGTGCTTCCGCCATTACATTTCTAATAATTGTGACTAAAACTAATTTCCCTACTTAATATAAATTTATTAGAGAATTAATGACCCGCGGCTCAATGATGATTTGCAACAGATCCATAATATTTTTAATTTAAAAACAAATTCCATATTTATGATATTTTTATAAACTGTAATACTGTGTACGAAAATTGAATGAATAAAGCTTTTTATCTTTTGTTCGATTGTAAACGCCTTTTGCATGTATTTACATGGTCCACTGAGGTCATAAGTACAATGTAAGGGAGGTTGATAGTAAGAGAGAGGTTGTTAGTGACTGGTAGTCCCATAGTTACCATGTCAGGTCAACCTCCACGCGGCCCCCCTGGAAACCAATGTAGCTAATTTCTGGTGAATTGGGCTAACTTCATTATCTGACCCGACTTTGTCAACTTCATAACTAATATCAAACGACACTGGATTGGCCCATTAATGTAATTATACGGTAATTAATATATACCATTAATTACAATTTCAGTCGTATTCTCGAGCGAAGACCAAAAACAAGCAGTAGTACAATGGCTGGACGAGGTAGGACCTGTCAGAGTGGAGGCGTTGGACACAGTATGGCGGCATGGCTGGATAGTCTGCGGGGTGCTGGACTCTGCCATGCCGGGCGCCTGCGCAGGTCACCCGCCGGTGCGAATTTCTTTGGCACATGCCCAGGGAATAGCACACCATTATCTTGGTGTTGAGCCGGTAGGTGATTAGCTAAATATATATAAAACACAAAAACTGTTTGTACATCTGCCCGTTCTATTACAGTGAATCGGATTGTAAGAAATGTGGACTGATAAAACCAACGCTAACAAAATACTAGGTCATGTTGAAATCATCGTGATAAGCTCCTGGTAAACTTTTCACGATGAGCTAGCTAACCTAACCCCATACTCATCATTCTCCACAGGTGCCCGCCATGATAAACGCTAAAATTTACCCTGACGAGGAGAGAAAAAAACCATCGAACCAATCTGTCCCTAATGGTTTCATTTCGCAATAATGCGAAAATGATTTTAGAACACAATGCACGTCATGCAATTTCTTTAGCGTATTAATTGTCATTATCCTTTAATTATATATAAAATGAGACGTTTCTTACAAGTATTTTAAATTCGAATGGCAAATAAGGCAGTCCTAATGGTAACCACGTATAATCATGAACAGCACTACGGATATTAGTCGTCAAGTCGTACCCGTAGTTTCTAGAATGATCATTTAATTTAAAAAATAATCTATATCCTTTTTTTATTTCAGGTCTTTTCCCGACAGGAGCTGGAATCGAACGGCTCACTAAGCAAGCATCAAGAATGGAAGCTAGCTACTTATTTAGACCGCATCCGGCAAGCCCTAGAAAAATTGACACCACCTGTTTCTAAACCTGTTTCCCAAAGAACTCCTCTAGAAATTATTCAATTCTCCATGGACTATGTTGCAAGAGGTTCTGGTTTATCAGCGGCTCAAGTAAATAATAAAATGCATTTCAAGATTTATCCGACCGGACAACAATCTTTAGATCCAAAAGAAATAACAGTTTTAATTAAAGGACCTAAAGACACATACGGTATGACCGTACTGCCACCTATATTTGGAAAAGCGCAGTTAATTAGACAAAAACTACTGGGCTTACAAAATAAACAAAACTTCACAGAAAGTGTACTGCCTATAACACAAGGTGCAACATATTTACGAGCCTTTGGTAAAAATGATATGAACAAAACTTATTATATACCAAAAACCAAGTATGAAATTGAAATCGAAAAAGACTTACATTCAGACCATGCAAAGATTAGTTATGTGGTTAAACGAGAAGGTAGATACGAAATTTCTATAACAAGTAGAGGCCAAAACATAGTCGGTTCACCGTTTTCAATGACAGCGTCTCATAACATTATTGGCATTTTAGAGAGAGAAAGTTTTTGTTTGGAGGACGGAGAAGAAATAGACATAGTCGATGTAAAAACAGACAGAAAAGTAGTTCTAAGAATTGTGGACTTCGTAACTGAAAAGATGCTGTTAAAAGAAAATGGCTCTCTAGAAAAAATTACTGATAATGAAGCGAAAAAATTAATGACTGAAAATCTCCGACTTTCCGCAGACGAATCGATATTAAAAAAACATAATGAAAATGGTATAAACGAAATTTCATCAAATTCCAGTAATGATAAGTACAACGATATAAGAAAATTTCAAAGAGCCGTCAGGAAAATTATAATTACAAGTCGTGTCTGTAAAGCATTTGTAGACAATATACGTAAACAACAGACATTCACAACAAATAAAGAAAATAGTAATAATGAACCTAGATCTAAACAGGATATTCCTGATATAGTTAACTCTACACTAATTGACACAACAATGAAACCGTATCACATATCTGACAGTCGAGATAAAATTATTATACCTGAAACTATATCTGTATCAATTTTGACAGAAAAACATAAAACTAATTATGACGCTAGCACTATACCGAAAGACCCGAAAATATACAGTCAAGTGAATTATGATGATGCTCGCGACAGCTTGGAAGAATATTGCCTGATACAAAACTACAATGATGATAATTCACAAGATGATACACAAGACGATATTACAAATTCAGCAAGTAATCCATTTATTAACGAAATATTTCAACATGATTATAAAACAGAAAAAGAATTATGTTCTTTCGTAGCCAATGAATATGAAAGAAATAACTCTCAGTGCGAAGAAACAGACAATACATTAATAAAAATATTAATAGACGAAAATAACGAAACATCAACGACAAACAACAATCCATTTATAGATGCAGATATAATTAATTTAACCCGTCCTAAATCACCAGTTTTTAAAATAATATCAGGTGAAGTACGTAATCATGACGACCCTGGTTATATAGACACTGAAGTAGAAATAGCAAAACAAGTAGGGGATAACGAATTTATAAATCCATTTTTCATACATCAACATCGAGAATCCAGTGATTATAAAGAATCATTACCAATTACTGCTTTTAAAATTGGGGCCCCAGTTTCATTGCCGCCTATAATTAGAGCTACGTCTCCTGTTCCAGAAATGGATTCATTAATTATTACAAGCAGTGAGGAAATTAAAACCGATGTAAATATAAATAATAACGAATTGTCTATATTTACAACACCTGTAGACACGAATCAAATTAAGAAAGACGAGGACAGTAATTTGTCTATATGCTCTACTTTTCAAAGTTTAGATTCAGAAATGGCAGATAGTTCATATGCATCTAAGAACAATAGTAAACTTGAAAACTATCAAATTGAGACAACACATTTGTCACAAAATGATACCCCGAAAAAAGATACATGGGATTCTGCATACGTAAGTATCGATGATAATAATAGCTCACCTGATAGCAATAATAACGATAATGCACCAATAACAGAATTAGTTGGTAAACAGAAATCATCTCCTAGTGACGTCAGTTATGAAGTAAAACGAGTACAATTATCTAATATGGGTCCAGCAGAGAGAGAAATATGGCAAACTTGTAGTGAATTAAAAAACGATGTTTTTGTTGTTCATGAAGATCACAATATAAAACCAAGTAAATTTGAACCAAAACGGCCTATTTTTACTCCAATTATTGAAGAAAATGACAGAAGTATACCATCTGGAATAAAGGATATAAAACAGATAGATGCAATTGAAAAACGTTCTGAAACTGATGCTGTAACAGTGGCATTTGCTGAACTAAACGACTTATATCAAGAGTACTTTCCTAATACTGAATCCAGTTGTACTAAAAGTTTGAATGAGAACCATCAATTTCAAACAGCGAAACAGAAAAAAGAATACACGGTTGATACAATATATGTCAATTCGGCATCTGAAATTGGAACAGATGTGAAAAGACAACCAAAAGACATGGAAGGAAAGATTTCTGAGGTTCAGGCAAGTGTCACTGAATCCATTTCAGCAAGTCAGACCCTTCAAAGCAATAAAGTACAAAATGAATATAAATTAACAAATAAAGACGAAATTCAGTTTGGAGACCGAAAACACACAAATTTAGTGCTAGAAAGAAAAAAATATTGGGATGAGAGAATTCGTCAGATAGAAGCAAAATCTGAAGAGTCTACAACATTTCAAAAGAAACGACGATTGTCCTCAAAACATCTAAGAAACAATGACTCCTTAACTAAGCGACGAGGTAAACAAATTGTTAAAAACTTTTTAAAAGCAGATGAAAGTCGTAATGACAACGGAAATTCATTTCTTAATAAATCTTCAGTAGATATAGATACTAAAACTGAAGAAATTACTGATTCTCAAAAACCGACCCAACAAGTAAAATCTAATATAAAATTGGTAAATAAATGGAAAACCTTTTGGGATAATAAACTTGATACTAATTTAGAAAACAATACAATATGTTCTCTCGAAACCAAGCCTCTAAAAAGTAAACAGCCCTTAAAACTAAACAATAAAAACATAGACAAGGAAAATTACTGTGAACCAAAATCATCGTCACCAGGAAAACAAGAGCTACCGGAAGAAGTTTTCAAAGCATTTGAAACAAGTCCAAAAAGATTTTTTGGAACATCCAGAAAACAAATTTTGAATAAAATAGATACTTTTTTAGGAAAGCCAAGCACCACAGATAGGTCATCAGCAGATGTTACTGGTGCAAGTCAAGATAGTGGTTTGGTGTCTAGTCGTATATCATTATTTCATAAAATATCGAATACAGAAGATTTATCATGGTCAAACCGAAAATCTCAATCTATGCATAACATTCATCAAAATAAAAATAACTATCGAAATGAATCTTCATCAGAGCTTACACTGAAAACAGTTACTAATATAGATAATAATACTTTAGAATCCGGAAAACACGAAGATTTTGAAAAGTTAGACAGTAACGAAGATATCACTGATATAAAAAGTACTTTAAATAGAACACACTCCATTGAAACGTCGCTACCGAATAGAACATTGAAAATGGCCCCAAGTTCTTGGAATAACTGTTTTAATGAATCAAACATAGTAAAAGAAAGTGATCCAATAAAAAAAGAAAGCATATATGTAAAAAATATTATCAAACAAATGAAACAAATAAACAAAGATAATCAAGAGGAAAACAAATATAAGAAATTAAATGATCTCTGCCGAACATCTATTAGCAAATCAGAAATGGACATATTTAATAAAACGTCTCACGAATACGACGATGATTTTGATAAATATAAATCATGTGATGAATTGCCAAAAATAAACGTGAAAAATTTTATATCGCTTTATGAAAGTGCTTCTAACACTGCTCCGAAACCGATATTAGCTCGAAAACACAGTAAAGTAAATATACAAAATTCACAAAAACAACTGTATAGCATTAAGTCTATTTCAGGTACGTGTTCTCTAAACTACATTCTTAATTTCACCTACATTTTGTAACAAATATCCTATCAGTACTATAACCGCGAATGTTTGTGAGAATGGGTGATTCGACGTATGTTTCACTTTTGCTAAAAACTAGTGGACGAATTCGAATGCTGGATTCCATTGGTCTATAACCTTTGTTATACAATTATACCTAGCTTTTATCTGGACATATATTTAATTATTTCCACATCAATCCACCAGCCGCGGTCTTTTCTGTGTCAACTGCGATAAAGCTGGTCGGCTGAGGACGTCCAAACAGTCATACAAATAATAGTTATTTTATAAAATTTTATTAGTTAATTTCATAAAAAATAATATGTTACAATAATTCTCCTATTTTTCCTATCTTAACATTATTTATAATGAACGTAATTAAATATGTATTTAGAGTACAATAAAGAATACAATATGTTTATTTATTTCAGACGCAGTCAATGTGATCAATAGACCAAATTCATCGCTACAGGAATCATATCAAGAAAATAGTAGTTACAAAAGTTTTGAAAGTGTAAGTATTGACAGCGCTGATACTAAAACTAGCAACTCCTATGAACTTGAACCATCTAACCGGGACAAAGAAACAACATATATTAGTCTATCCGATATTGAATTAGAAATAGTCGAAAGCCCAAACAAATCAATAGAACCTTCACCGGAAAGAGACATGGACTCAGTCAAAAAAGATTATAAATCTCGTTTCAAAATGGCAAAAGAGTTCTTTCAATCATTAGAAGAAATTAGAGATGTAAAGAAACCTACTAAAATAAGCGAATGTCAACAACTGCTGCAAAGTAAATCATCTGAATCTCCTGAAAACAAAAGATTGCAAAAAAGAATTAAGAAAAAATTAAAATCACATTCAATGCCTTCATCTGAAATCGCAAAAATTTGGAATGATATGCAAGAAAATGAAAATAAAGAATCGAGTAAACTAATGAAAATATCGGAGAAATTTAATGTAGAAGATTTATTTAGTGATGTTATGGATGGAAAATTAAGTAGACAAGGTAGTCTGAGGGGAATTCCACATAAGAAAGCAGTGCTCGAAACCTTTAGATCAATGGAGAACATTACTGATAGGACAATAAGCCCCTACGAAATCGCGGTGACTGAAATCAGTGACTTAGCAGATGGCAATCATGTTAAAAGTGCGCAGACTTATTTGAGTGAATATCCTTATCTGCCCACAACTGAACCATCGAAATCCCACTCAAGGTTGGACGCTAAAGCATCTGGCCTTATAACACTAAAAGAGTTGAAGACCAAAAAGCCCAGAAGGAACAGTGTGCCAGATTTAAGGTTAAACGCTTCATTTACGGCAGATCTTTAAAAAGAAAGGAAAGAAAGTGTAATTAATTGAAATTTAAAACAATGACAGTATTTACTAGTACCTAATGTAAGTTGATACTCAAAACAATTCGATTACTAATAAGTACATAGTCCTTAATATCTTTTTAAAATTTTCATTTCATATTATTAGCGCGTAGTATCATCAAACCATCTAAAGCATTGTCATAATAATTTTAACTAGAATAATTCTACACTTGTACAATTTGTACAGATACTGAATCTAATTTTATACTTAAGCAAAACGTAATTGTAACTATTTATTCATTATTAAAATATATGGAATTCCATTAGTGAAGTTTTATTTAGAAATTAATAAGTTACAGATTTCTTTTGAGAAATCATAGATGTTTAAGCAAGAAACAATACTACTGTAGCTACTGGAATTAATGATACTATAAATAAAGTGCCGATAACAAGTAAAAGAAGTTGCCTTCTCGGTGCCTATAATGCTACTTCAAATATAGATCTCATTCTATTCTGTGAACTACTTCCGAAAAAATTAATAATTTCTTCAGAATCAGTTTACAGAGTAGAAAATTTCAGTCTTACTAGGATATGAAACTAAGTCACGACTACGAAAACTCATATAAGAAATAGTTGGAGATATCTTAATACACAGCCTTTTTCCAATGGTCGCAGGTTCGATTCTTGCAGAATACAGCATACACAAATACATAATTTGTATTATTAAGTATGACTGTTTTTATTAGTCTGCAGGTTTATATATATCACCCAGATTGCCTATTTAGTGGCTTCATATGAAGCATATTTTCTTAGAAATCTTAGAATTTCCTTGATAAATGTCAGTATTTTCCAGATAGTTTGGTTGATATAATAAAAAGTATATCCTGTGTCAATTACAATGTGTAAGGAAAACTCCATGATGATTAAAATTCGTTAAAGCATTAAATTGTATCAAACTAATTTACTTTCTAATATGAGAAACATCGATACCTTAATCACAACAAGTTATCCTGGACTATACTTTGTAAGGATATAGAAAAGATACGTTCGTTACTAAAATAAAAATTGAGACAAGGTAAGCGTGACAAAAATTATACAATGATATATAGTTGCATATAAAATTTAATAAAAATAAATAAAAGCAACTTAGGTTCCGAATAAATCTTGTTCTAATTAATTTATACTAATAAATCATGCGTTACATTTTTACTGCATCTATTAACATTGGATCAGCATATGTAAGACTGTCTTAAACTTAGGACTTAGAAAAATTTACATACGAAATTATAATCAGGATGTGACGAGACTACAGACGAGGCGTTAGAAACGACACAATCCCTCCCCTGCTCCGATATTGCCTCCTGTTTTCAATATTCTGTGTAGGCAGTTTTGGAGATCTTTCTACTAGTGTACCATTGATATAATAACATGGAAACCGGGTCAATATACACTATCTTAAAGTGGTTGGATTGTTCGGAACTGCAGTAAGTTCATTATAGCAGGTTCATATCAGTCTTGATTGGGCAGAGAGAGCAACACAAGTAGTGAAGGTGAATTGATATGCATCGGAAAGAGGTTCTTAAATATACGTATATGTTACACAAGTCTCAGTATCGGCTCGAATTTGTTCTCCCTGCCTAAAGATGAACTCGGCATCCATATGGTGAATCCAAGGAAGAAAATCGTCTTTGCTTGTCCTTATACCAGATATTAAATCAGTCAACTTAGTACTTTCCATTTTTGCATCGTACAAGCTAAATTGTGACTAACTACTGCAGAATACAATTCATAATTCACTTTATATGTATTTGCACATAAGTCGATGCGGTATCCGCACGCCTCCACTGGAGCCATGCAGCCACTTGTGGATCAGACCTGTCGCCTCTTGCCTCCAGTTGTTGATAATATGCTTCTCGTATTATCCGAAATGCGTCTACACTTCTATATGGAAGTTTTGTTATAGGATCTATGTAGCGTGCTGGCCTCCTAAAAACATTTTAAAATATACTATATTTTATGTATAACTGATACAGGTATACTTATAAAATAATTTAAATAGACATTATATACTTTATGTTCGAAACCAACACAAATATTTTTGTAGTCTCATTTCTCCCTTTCATTTAGCTACCATTTACAGTGGCAGTTACTTGAAATCTATTATAATAATAATAATCTCAGGACAATTCACATAGCGCCATCTAGTCCCAAGTTAAGCTATCTAAGGCTTGTGTTACGGGTACTAGATAACTGGTGCATAGATTTTTTTTTTCGTAAATACATACATATTATATATAGAAAACACCCAGACCGATACAAACAATCATACTTATGAATACAAATGTTTGTGCCGTGCGAGGAATCGAACACGCGACCATCGGGCGAATGCAGTGTGCTAGACCGCTAGACTACCGAGGTCGTCATCTGACATACATTTACTAATGGAGTCTATACATACTTAGTAACAGCGCATAGAAGATCCCGCCGTCTCTTCCGGTGCGACTTCGGGAAGCAGGCGTTAAAGGCAATATCCTTTATGTCATTCTCGAAAGAAATCAACGTACGCTCATGGTATGTGATATTTTTGGTCTCTTCTTTAGGTGGCTTTTCATCTTTTCTGTAACAGAGAATATAATTGAAAATTATATAGATATTAATGTTCAATTATATTATACTTGAAAGTAGGTAAGTTATAATATCTTTATGACTACTCCCGATGGTGTAGACAGAGACATAGTACTGTTATACTGAATGCAACATATGATGTCGTGATATAACATTTGGCAGGGAATTTCAATTCAATGGACAGGAAGTGACCCGTATATGGGATTAGTTTCGTTTGTTATCATTGTTTTTAGTGAAAGTCAATCACAAATTAAAATTGGCATAAAAATCTTTTGGTGTTTTATAGACTTATTCGACAGACTTATTCAATTTCTTCAAATATTTTGACGATATTTGAAATATAAAATTTTTTGTAGTAAACAATCAGGTTTTAAAGTTTAAATTTTATTATAAATGTTTAATTAACATTACATAACAATACCTTATTTAGATTATATTTTACAAAATAAAGAAATTTTAATACTAACTCGTTAACTTTCTCGATGTCTATTTCGTCATCTGGTCCTATCACTTCTACATCTGTTTTTGTGTCAGTTTCCATTTTCTCTATTTTTTCTTCAATTGTTTCAATCTTTGGTTCTTTCATTGTTACATCGGCATTACTTTCTTCACCTGTTGTTATCTCTGTAATAATAACATTTAAGCTGGTTTAACTAGTAAATATTGTATTATTTATTTATTCATATTTATATACTCTTTAATGAAATTGTGAGTAACGAGATGACCTATCCGACATGCACGCAAAATTGCATAAAAATCGGTAAAGCCATTTCGGAGCAGTTCGGTAGCAAATAGAGTGACACGAGAATTTTATATATTAGAAGATTTGTGTATCAAAAACTATTGTATTACTAGATCACCGAGCTATTAAATTTAAGTGAATTATAGGCAACCTAAACCTTATCATTGGAGTTATAATGTCTTACCATCTTCACTTTTGATCACATCACTCACTGTAGCATCCTCCGTGCGAAGAGGACTGTGTTTTTCTTCTTCTGATATCTCAGTTATTAAAGGGACAGAAAAGGAATGATACCTGAAATATATTATTAATAAAATATTTACAATAATTCTATACAAATAAACAATTTTAATGATACATGTAATAAACATAGATAGATAGATATTCAATCTATCTGAACTAATTTGTACATTATGATTTCGTAGACATTTTATCATTACCATCGACAGCCTATTGAGTAAATATGATGAATGTAGATTCGCCATTATGCATTTAAATTTTGGTTTTGACAAATCAATGCAATCACAAATTAATTTCCTCAAAAATAAAATTTATTTTATTAAATAGATATAGACTTTACCTAATAACTGGTCCCGTAATAGTTTTCTTTGTAGGTCGTACCTTCTTTCTCTCCATTTCAATTTGTTCAAATCTCTCTGAGAAGTAATAAAAATATTATAAATAAAAGTATTGCAAGTAAACCAAAGGGGATTCAAAATATTTAGCTCAAAAATTGACCTGCCTATGTAAGCTACCGGCTAAGGAATTTAAAATATCTATATAGAGGAATTTAAATAATAATAAATAATAGATCCTGTCAGTTAAAAACTAACAATGAAATACAGAAACTAATAAATTAGTAATCTACTCATAAAGCAGAACTAATAAAGACATAAAAAATATAAGTGACAAAATAATCAATAAATTCTATATTTAAATTATAATAACATTTACAAATTACCTAAGCTTTTTAAATTTTCCTTTTCTGTTTCAAGTGCCTCTTCTAATAATTCTTCTTGAGTTGGCCACTTTTCCTCTACCTTTTTTGGCTTTTTCTTTTTCAGTTCCGATCTGATCTTTATCCTCTGCTGTGTTTCTGCTGATTTTACTGCTGTACTTTGTCTGATAGATTTTCGTTCTGGAAAAAATAACTACAGGTATAACGGGTGATCCAGTGTTACTGCACTCAACCAAATTTTAGGGAGCTCAATGTCCCGAACTAACATAGCATTATATTACAATTATTAAAATTACATAATGATGATACAAAAGAACAACTTGATAGGTAAGTTATTAATTTTTGCTAAGATACTTCCCACTTACTTCAGATACAAGGCTTGTCTCCCATAACTAATTACAATATAATGCCAATTATATAAAATATAAATTCACTTTTTTCTTATTCCTCAATATATTAGACAAGCTAACACACATTCATACCACATAATAATTAAATATAATATTCATTATTTCATATTTAATTTTATTTAAATTCAGATATTTGGCTAACACAAGTTTTACTTCTTTCTATATAGTATACCTGTATTTCTGTATTTCATACCACATAAGTAAAAAATATAGAAATTAGAAATTGTAATTTTTTAGTTGGGTAACACAATTTTTATATAGTCTCTATAGTATAGTTCTAGAAGCCTCCTTTTGAGCCTAAAAATATAAGCTTGCCTGCTAATATAAGTTTACTGGCAAAGAGAACCAAGTGACATTTTCTTCTATTTACACACAACTCTTGTATCATTCACTCCCATACCTGTTGTAGATGCATCCAGTACTGTAGTTTTTTCTGATTTCTCGGCATCATCCTCTTTTTCTTTAACCTTTGGTTCTTTTGGTTTCCTTCCAACTGCTTTAGGTTTTTCAACTGCAGCCTTTTTCCTATTGGGATCCTATAAATAAATAATATTTAAACATAGTTTTATAACTGGGCACTCAGCTTTAAGAATATATGTGACCATGAATAATCCAGTTTATGATTTCTCTTTATCTTGTGTATCTATATAAAAATTAAAAATTAATTATATTACACTTGGTATATTTAGCAACCTTAAAACATCAAAACCAAAAGCTAGTTACTCTCGACTTAAAACATATGAATTCCACAGACTAGTGGAAAAATTAGCAGATAGTGCCTAAGAGTTGACTCCTTGGACCAGCTTCATATATTGAAAGAAATAAAAACAAATAGCCATCAAATTGGACTATTACATCAAAAACAGACTACCAAATAGCAGTACACAAAAAGAGTATGCCATGTACAGATGAACAACCTTATAAACATTGGTGTTTGTTTTTCGTTTCTCCTTGGATTCTGCCTCCTGATCAGAGTGGGGCTCGTCATCTTCATCAATATCAAAATCCGAATCGACAACATCATCTTGTTCTTTTTCTTCTCTGAAAAAAAAGTACTACTTAGGTTAAACTCGAATAGCAAACTAACTTTTAATTTTTACAAAACTAATAATAAGCAAATAGTAAATTGAACTTGTAATAAGAAGTAGATAAATAAAGGATTAAAAAATAATTAATAACTGATAAATAATAAATATGTTTATCATACATACATTTATCAGATGGATACCTCAATCTCACCCAAATTATATAAGTATCTTAGTGCTCAGGAAAAACAATGTGTGAGTGGTACCATGGGTGTTATATGATAACCATAGTGCTGTTCATCTATATATATGACGGTTACATAAAAAAGAGCATGCTAAAGAAATTAAACATGGAATAAATTAAAAAATTGGTATGTAAGTGTGGTAATATTCACATAATTAAGATATTGAGGTGCTATGTCCTTTATGTGAGGAACTTCTTTTACAAAATTTGATTGACTATCAGTATAAAATATACCTCTCAATTAATAACAAGTAGTAGCTATATAAGCAAACAATCCAATTAATTCGATTTTCAGCGTTAAATCGTGCAAGCAATCTTGCAATCTTTTGTAAATTTGATAATAATAAAAATTAACAGTACAATTCAGTTTTAGGTTTGTACATACTGTGAATATTTATGTACTAAATAAGGATGGAATCATTATCTCATTTGATTAACATGATATTTGAGTTATTCTTTAATCATCGACACACTTACATATAATCTCTATCTTCTTCAACGTCCTGGAAGCCACCGTAAGTTGTTTTATAGAAGTCGTCTTCCTCTTCTTCATCAAGTAACTTGGCCATGCGATTGCCTGCATTACTGCGGCGTTCTCTTTGAGACATGACTTATATTTTGAAGAATAAACCCTTAACACATATAGGAAAAAAGCTAATAATTAACTTAGATTACAATATGTTAAGGAAAGAACTAAAAATATAAAATAAAGCTAGAAATAACTGATATTCTGGAAATATCTCTTTATTTTGGCGTCACCCGTCAGTTATTAACTGTATTAAATAAAGCTGTCAAACACAGAGTACTTTAACTGTCAAAATATTGTATCATGTATCAATAATCGATATTAAGATATAAATAATCGAGTTGGATTACTGTGTTCATTCCGTACAGTTCAATCGATTTGTAAAATGAGAACAACTATTTTACATCTCTAGTTAAACTCGGACAGTATACAATAGAAATAGGTGGAAATAATACAATTTTAAAGGATATTATAATCATAAAACAGAGTAAAAATATAGAAAAACTTAAAACCTAATATCGCGCAATTAGCTGAAAGAGACTCCACTTCACTGGTGTCGCAGCGTGTCTTTCTAGAATGAATATTGAGTACAACGGTGAAAAGTTAAAACCGCATATTACTAAATAAATGGTTTTAATTTACTAAAAATTCTATTGCTATTAATATATCAATTTTGACAATCAATGGACAATAATATGACACGGCTACAAAACTCATTACATTCTCCCCAGCTGAATAATCAGTCACAATGGTAATCTTGAAGGTACTGAGGAGCATGTTTAGTCCTATTGGATCTGCGAAGAATTGGAGACTCTTCAGCCACGTTTTCGGCCACATTGTCAACTTCCTCCGTTAATAAAGAAGTAGGTCTTGTCTCGTTAGGAGTTGAATTAGGCATAGCCGTTGGATCACTCAGACTCAAATGCGTGTCAGCAGATGGTATGACCTCAGTTTCTAGTGAATCAGGAAGTTGAGTGACATCCTCTCCACTTGGTGCTAAATATCTGTTAGATATTGTAGTCTCCCTACCGTTAGCCAATCGCACTAGAGAATAATGTGGATTTGGGTGCAGTAACTCTACCTCCTCTACCTGTGGTTGATATTTATTGGTTCTATTAAACCTCTTCATTAAAACCGTTTGTCCTGAGCTTGTAAGCCATGTAGGGATTGACGTGCCATTTGAAGAACGTCGTGGATGAGCAAACATACGCTCGTGTGGTGTACAGTTGGTAGTTGTACAGAGCAGTGAACGAATTGAATGCAAAGCCTGTGGTAATACTTTCTCCCATTCATCTATTTGCATATTCTTTGTCCTGAGAGATAGCTGTATCGTTTTCCATAGGGTTGCATTCATCCTCTCCACTTGTCCATTACCTCGTGGATTGTACGGCGACGAGTGGCTTGTTGCAATTCCACGAGAGTGTAAAAACTCTTTGACTTCTACAGCAAGGAATGAAGTTCCTCTATCGGAGTGTACATAAGATGGAAATCCAAAAATCATGAAGAGATTATTTAAATTTTTTATTACAGTTTGAGCTGTAATATCTGAGCACGGAAAAGCGAAAGGAAAACGTGAGTATTCATCTACTATTGTGAGTATGTATTTATTCATTGTATTAGATGGGACTGGTCCCTTGAAATCTATGCTGAGTCGCTCAAAAGGAGAAGTGGCCTTTATAAGCTTCGGTTGTGAATCCGTATCTTGTCTATATCTAGGTTTTACTTCACAACATACCCTGCATGTAGCGGTCATAGTACGGACTTCCTCTATACTGTAAGGCAGGTTCTTAGTTTTCAGCCAGTGCATCATTCGAGTTACACCGGGATGGCATAAGGCTTCATGCAAAGAAAGTAACTTGGTGGTTCGAGATCCAGCTGAAGCAGAAATTCTAGATAAGGCATCAGCAGCGAAATTATCCTTACCGGGTCTATACACAATATCAAATTTAAACGGCGATAATTCTAGACGCCATCGTTGTATCTTTTCATTTTTTATTTTACTAGTATGCGTAGCACTGAACATAAAAGACACGGATCTTTGATCTGTAATCAATTTAAATTGTTTTCCGATCAGAAAATGGCGCCATTTCTTTAATGATTCGACGATAGCATATGCTTCTTTTTCTATAGCTGAATGATTATGCTCACTAGCGTTTAATGCTCTTGAATAAAATGCTACTGGTCTTGAGTCTTGTGAAAGAACAGCTGCAATAGAGTGTTCAGATGCATCAGTTTCGACGTTAAATGGTAATTTATCGTTGATAGCGTGGACTGAGGACTTGGCTATATCAGCCTTCAATTTTTCAAACTCTTGAATTTGTTCAGTATTTAAGGGGAATGTTTCAGTTTTTGTTATATGTGGATTCGTTCCGAAAAGTTGGGAATCCACTTAGAGTAGTGAGCAAACATTCCCAATGCTCGCCTGAGTGATGGCATATCATTTGGTGCTAACAGTTTTATTAAAGGTCGAAGACGATCATTATCAGGCGTAATTACGTGATTAGATATATTATATCCTAGGATATTTATAGAGGTTAGACAAAATTTAGATTTTTCTTTGTTGAGTGTAAGACCGTACTTTTCAGCTGCTCTTAGAAACTTACTTAAATTATCGTCATGTTCGTTTTGAGTCTTGCCGCAGACGGTTATATCATCAAGATAAGCAAAGGTTCCCTCCAGTTTTTCTTTTCTAATCACCCAATCGATAGTTCTCTGAAAACTGGAGACACCATTAGTAACACCAAAAGGGATACGTTTAAATTGATACAAGTTTCCGGCTGCTTCGAAGGCCGTGTACGGTCTTTCAGAAAGTAATATAGGTACCTGGTGATAGGCACTCTTTAAATCAATAGCACTAAATATGGAATACTTTGATATTTTACAAATTGTGTCCTCTATGTTTGGCAATGGATAAGCATCTATCAAAGTGTATTTGTTGATCGTTTGGGAATAATCTATACAAAGACGCTTTTTATGATTTTCCGTATTGGATATAAGTACTTGTGCCCGCCATGGTGATTTACTCTCTTCAATAACGCCTTCTGCCAATAGTTTATTTACTTCGTCTTCAATGAACTTTTTATCTTCATCACTGTATCTCCGTGATTTAGCAGCAATAGGTCTACAGTCAAATGAAAGATTAGCGAATAGTGGGACAGCTGGTACGGATGCCTGTGCTACATTACATACTACTAGTGGTTCTTTAGGTCCACCAAAAGATAGTTCTAGTGAGGAGTGCTTTGATAAGACATCATGACCAATTATTAGATCAGCACATAGATTATTGACAATAAGTAAGCTTATATTTTCGTAGGTATGTTTACCGATTTTTATATTCTGGTACGTTTCACCAGCGACAGGAGCAGTGTGACTCAACGAAGCCATGGAAATGGTTTGATGACATGGTTTACTCTTGAGATTGCATAATTTACTGAATTTTTCATTAATGAAACTTAAAGAACTGCCTGTGTCTAAAAGAGCTTCTGCTTTTATGCCTTTGATATAAGCAGGGACAGTAGCTTTGATTAGAGAAAATGGTGATGCAGCTATAATGCACGCCGAAACATCATCTTGTTCCGCTGTGGCAGCGCTGTAATTCTTACTACGACACACTTTTGCAAAATGTCCCTTTTTCTCACATATTTGGCAAGTGACGTCTGCAGCGGGGCAATTTCTACGTGGATGTACGGTTCCTCCACAGAAGAAACATTTACGGCGACGATAAGTACTCGCTACAAACTTTTCTCTCTCCATTGATGTTTCGATATTTGATTCTGAATTTTTAATCACGTTAATTGTTGGCATGTTAAAACTTTGGGAATTTGTTTCAGCCATCTCCAATGAGAGCGCTTGATTATACGCTTCGCTAAGTGAAAGAGTCAAATTTTCAAGCAGCCTTTGTCTTATTTTGCTTGAAGAGATACCAGAAATAAAAGCATCTCTTATGCTCTCATTCTTATTAGTTTCCGCATCTACAGCAACGAATTCGCAGTCTTTAGATAATTGTTTTAAAGCTTGCATATATGCATCAATAGATTCTTCTGTACGTTGTTTTCTAGAAGCAAGCACATGCCTAGCGTATATGATATTCTTAGGCTTTATATACAATGCATTTAATACCGCCCTAGGGGGCGCGAAAACGTTACCACTTCTATCAGATAGGTCGGCAGATTGTGTGCCATTCCAACTACCTACATAATAGAACAGTTGGTGCAGAGTACTGTTCTTTACCCTTACAAGAACGAAAACTAAATACAAAATTGAATCTATGCAAGTATATGTCGAAATTAGTTCTGTCGAATCGATGTCTAAAAAAGGTGGGTATTGCATAATTTCATACAAAATATAATTGTTCACTGAATGAATGAATCACAGATAATATAATATTACATACTACTATATACAAAAATAATTAAAAGTAATGTATAAAATAATCTGAAAATTGAAAGATACCATGTGGATGTGGAATTGCGTCTGACCACTCATAATGTAAGATTTTATCGTCTTCAGGGATCGAAATAACTTATTAGATGATATGTCCTTTTAAAGCAATATCGAAGTAACTTTCATAAATCAACCTTTACAACAACTGTAATTTTTTCAAATTCCCTGTAACGACTTAAAAACATTGTTGGCATTTTTCACAAGTTTTATGAACAGTGTTGCCTGATATTTTGGTTTATAATTTTTTTTTATTTCCTTAGATATTTTAGTAGTTTGATATTTAGAAAATTTTCGAAATAGTATTTGCAAAAAAAGGATTTAAATAAAAGAAATAAATATTTTGTGCGATTTATTCAATTTTAACAGTTATTATAATAAGATTTTATTTCAGTCATCTTTAGTTGTTCTCAATAAAACTGTTTCCTAGTTTCTTGTTGCCTTGTTACACAGATTTTGGATTACGGCGACATCTATAGAAGCTACAATGAAACTCAAAACATTAGAATTAAGTTTCATTATAGCTTGCTTTACACATTTAAGAGTAAAATTAGTAGGTATTTATAGTTTAAACTATCCTTTAACATCATCAATTTCTTTCAAATGTGATTTTACATTTAAACACTTAGTATGCCTCTACTATTTTTGAATTATTATTATAATAATTTGAGTTTGAACATAAAACCACAAGAAAAAAAGTTATAACGGAATTTAGAAACTGATACCAAATGGAGACTGCAGTACTTACTTATCTTTAAGGCTTAAGTGTAGATGTCAATATGAACACATGGCAACAA